AAGAACTAGTGTTAGAACAAAAATGTGGTAAGGACTAAGTAGGTGCAAATGTCAGTTCAGGTTTGGTCAGAAGGAGCAAAACACAAGGCCATCTCAACAATGGAAAGAGTGATTAGCCCAGCCAGTGTGGCTGGGTGGTTGTGAATCGACCCACTCGCCAAGAGCGCACTGGTTCGATTCCTGATCAGGGCACATGCCCAGGTTGTAGGCCTGATCCCCAGTGGTGGACATACAGGAGGCGGCCAATAGATGTTCTCTCTCATCCATATTTCCATCTCTTTCTCCCTCTCCCTTCCCCTCTCTCTAATATCAATGAAGAAAAAAAAAATTTTTTAAAAAGAGCGATTAGCCCTGGCCGGTTTGGCTCAGCGGTTAGAGCGTCGGCCTGCGGTCTGGAGAGACCCGGGTTCGGTTCCCGCTAAGGGCACGTACCTCGGTTGCAGTTTGTCCCTGGCCCTGGTTGGTCGTGCGGGTGGCAGCCACTCGATGTGTCCCTTCACATCGATGTTTCTCTCCTTTCTCTCTGTTCCTGTCTCTCCCTCCCACTCTACCTGAACAAAAGGTGGAAAAATGTCCTCGGGTGAGGATAAAAAAAAAAAAAAAGGAGCGATTAAAAGTTTGGAAACATAAAAGAATTCACCTAAATTTCCAGTCCTTCTAAGTGTTTCTGCATTTATTCTAGTATCCTATATTTCTGATACTTTCTAAAAGCATTTTAAGAATTCCATTCATCTAAGGATACTTATGACTTATTTCTATTAAGTACATATTAAATCTGTAGCATTTAATGAGTTTTAAGAGCTTTCTTTTAAAAAATTCTGGAATATCTTCATTTTGTATATTTTAGAACACTAGTTTTTAGGACAAAACACTAAATAATAATCCATGACAGAAGTACCCCATAGCATATGCAAATGAATACTGATAAATTCACTTGTTTACATTTAGGGTCCACTCATCTTTAAATTCTCAGGGTTGTAATATTTTTCCATAATAGAGACTCTGCTGCTTCTTGGTGGAGCAGAACTTTCACAGGTTCAGAGAGAGAACCAATTATATATAACAATTTATTGTACTAATTGTACCTGATTAGACATGAGTGACTTCAGATCAAGATATCCCACTGCAAAATAACGATCAATAACTAAGAGTAATTAATGTCTTTAAGAAATGTTTTCAGCCTCATATTCATCAAAGTTGTAAATTAGTAAAGACAAAATGAGCTGAAAGAATCTTTAGAAGAATTTATTTTTTAAAATCCTCAAAAGGCTGTAATGATGGCCATGAAAACAGAAATTAATACATAAATATCCAAACAAGGGTTGAATTTTAGAAAAACAAATTATGTGAGCTGGTCAGCTCCCTTGAATGCCAGGTGAGGTTCAATACAGCATAATATCAACAGTATGCACTTTAGAATCAGACCAATCCAAGCTGACATTGGAGCAAATCACTTAACTTTTTAGTTTCCATTTCCCAGTCTATCAACAGAAATGTTTCCAACTACCACATGGGTTCTGGGGGTGAATGTAGTTAAGTATTTATCAATGCCTGGCACATAGTAAAACCCAACTGTTGGTACCATTCCCTTCCTTCCTAAACAGCTCCTCTTCAGTACACCTTCACATATATTATAGGGCCAATCAGCAAAATTATGTGACTCCCTATACCCTAACAGTTTAGTAAAGAGAATATGGTAAACTGGTTTTTTTGGGGGGAAAGTAAAGCTAAGAAGGGACTGATTAAAAGAAAAGTATGATCAAAGGACTAAAGTTTCAGATGAAGGAAAAGAACAGGTTTTAACAAAGATGTCAATAGAATTGAGAGGTTTTATTCTAGGAATTAACACCAAGAAAAATATCAATATCATGGTTTCAGTACTAGTATTTTGAATGTGTATGCATTTCCTTAAAAATATCCACACCGACAATTTATTAATATATAAGCTCCATGTGGGCTCAAAAAAGATCCAAAGCTTATTTCCTGTAGCATAACACGTGGTCTATATTGAATACTAATGTAATGCAGGCCCACAATAATATTTCATATGCTCAGTAAACTACATCATCCCTTTATTTACCCATTCAACAATTATTGAGTCTACTTGAGCCAGACACTATACTTAGCACTAAGATTACAATGGTGGTCAAGACAGGCTAGTGGCCTTCATGGAGCTCCCAATCCAGCAGTCTATTCATTATCAGCAAGGGCCACCTACCACAATTACTAAATTCTAAAAGTAAATAAAACTTTTTTTTATTAAACTGAATAAGTTAGTTCAATTAATTGTTCCTAAACAGCAATTAATACATTTGCTATATTTAAAAATCTTAAGTTTTTCAATCAACTATTTTAGATGTAAATTCTGGGCCACACATTTCAAGCAGGACATTTGACAAACCAGATATAATGTGAAAAATCTAAAACCATACCTTCTGAAAAATGAGTTTTTTGGCCAAGAGAAGACTCAGAAAACATGGCAACTGTCTTTACATTTTGTTTTTTTTTGTTTTGTTTTGTTTTTTAATCCTCACCCGAGGATATTTTTTCATTTTTTGTACAGATAGAGTAGCAGATAGAGTAGGAAGGAGAGAGAGAGAGAGAAACATCGATGTGAAGGGACACATCGAGTGGCTGCCACCCGCACGACCAACCAGGGCCGGGGGCAAACTGCAACCGAAGTACGTGCCCTTAGCGGGAACCGAACCCGGGTCTCTCCGGACCGCAGGCCGACGCTTTAACCGCTGAGCCAAACTGGCCAGGGCTGTCTTTACATTTTAAAGAAATAGCACACAGGTTTGCTCTGTATCATAAACATGAAGCGATGGGTAGAACTGACACAGAGATGGATTTCTGTTTCAATATGAAGAATTCTGACAATTCAAGATATTCAATAATATCTCAATTCCATTAGATTTCTGTAATAGTCTACACTATTTCTATACATAAATTTTCATTTAATTCTTGAAAAAATAATAATAAACCCACAAGTATTTCCATTATTATTTGGGAAACTGAGTCTCCAAGGGTCTTGGTAAGACCCTGGCAAACCACTAGAACTTGAGTCCCAAATCTAATTAAACAGACTATCTTCAAAGCAAAATCTTCCCACCTCTAGATGTATTCAGGGATACACCAAATAGCTCGCTGTCAGGAATGTTGGCCAAGATAGTCTAACGCATACTCTAAATCCAATCTTTTAAAAATACTAGTGGGTGAATATAAACTCCATGAAAAGATTTCAGTAATGAATGGTCCTCTAAAACAAAAGCTTCATGAGGGCAAGGACCTTGTCTTTCTTCATTGGTATATACCAGTCCCTAGAACAGTATCTGACATATAATAAATGCTCAATAAATATTTGCTAAATATGAATAATCCTAATCTCCACTACTACATAATATAAACAAAACACAGAGATCTATTAGACAATAAAGGACCTTGCTAAAGTATCCAGCAACTAAAAAGCCTGATAAACACAGAATCCATTCTTAAAATTGCATCCTACATTTAAAATCACTATCTAAAGTCCTGAAACTTAGCCTAATCAGTTTATGAAAACAAAATCCAATTAAAACAAAAACAAACAAAAAAACACAAACCTTCTGGCAAACCTAAAATATAAATAATAAATTTGGTGAAATTACTTTTCAGTGTTGATAACTCTGCTTAAAGCATCAACTAACTAGCATTTTGAGTGTGCTTGAACACTGTAAGAATGAAGAGATTTAGACAGCTGTTTGGGTCTAAAGACAAACTCACATCTGTATCTCTAATATCACATCTGTACAAACATTTACTAGACTAACATTTCAAAAACATCTGCTAATTTTCAGGTATATATCATGTACTGAGAGTCAACATAAGTTGTACACAGAGGTATGCAGCATCCACTTGGAATTACTGAAAGAAAACTATAACCAATAGGAAAACCACAATCAATGCAAATGTCATCTTGTAAAATTCTAAATTACAAGGCCTAGAATTTTCAGACATCTTAAGGAATACAAGAACGTGCAAAATACTCAAAAGTTATTTTTAATTCACTGCTTAACAGGTAAGTATATATCAATGCTCACACTTTTTTGGGAGAATAATATTACATAGAAAGTAAGGCATAATAGCTATATAAAACACTCCAATTTCACTAGGTTATATTATAAGATTTCTGAACGAAGATGGTGATTTTTGAAGGTCTATTTAACTTTTAAGTAAGTGTAAATAGTAACTTAAAATAATAGTTAATATCCTAAGAATGTACTAAATCATTCACTTGGTTACACTGGACTACATCAAAGACACTGCATTTACACGTTATTAGCAACTGGGTGTCATCAGAAACCAACATAGAAATCGCAATCTTGTCATTTTTCTACTCTTTGAAATTATTACTTTGAAAGACTACGTAAGACACTACTCCACATAAGAATATCGCAAAATGGATTATCTTACTTATATTCAGAATTTAGAACTATAAGCTTTTTTCACATATTAAGAGAATAAATGGAAAGGCTGCTTTCCAATCGTTGACACATTTACAATCTGTATCTATCAGCACGTGATTCAAATTCACCTATACAATATTTAGCACCTAATTACAATCCATTCCTAAGTCTCCAACAATGAAACCTCTTTAGAGAGTTTTAAAAAAAATATATGACAAGTTAAACAAACTCTAGGTTTACCCAAATTAATTGTGCTGGAAAACCAGAAGTTGAGAGAAATCTGTTCGTATATTAATGCAACAAGTTTAAACCTTTGAACTCTTCCTTAGAAATCTTCCTTACCAGAGAGAAGAAAAGCTCTGTTGGACTTGCTCTGTCCCTCTGACCCCCTAGAATAGGTGTCACTGGGCGCCCAAATGCCTCTTGATAATTGAAGCACGTCCAAAACTGGGTTTTCTAGTCTCGAGTGGTTTTGAAGACCCCAAATACCACTTCCCTGCCTCCAGGGATCTGGCCAGCCCAGCCAAAGACAAACGCACGGGACAGCCGACTCACCTGATCACGGGGCTGTAAGGGCTCCGGGAGCGACGCCAGCTGCTGCTGCTGTAGGGGCTGGGAGACACGTCGCCGCCCCGCTCGTACGAGCTGTGGCGGCTGTAGCTGGGGGAACGGCGGCGGCAGTAGGGGCTTGGGGAGCGCGGCAGCCGCCGTGAATAGGGGCTGCTGCCACCTCCTGCCGGGCTGGGTGACTTGCGGCTCCTCAGGCTCTGTGAGGCCCTGTGGGACACCGGGCTGTCGTCCCGGCCTCCCAAGGGGCTTAGGGACCGCTGCCGCCGCCTGTAGGCCTTAGGCTCAGTTTTGTCCTCCCGGTAGGCCTTGGGCGGCTCCTTGTAGGCCGAAGGCGGCTCCTTGGACGACTTAGTCCGACTCCGGTGAGCCTTCAGGTCTCGGTCCCTGCGGCTGCTACCGCTGCTAGATGTGGCCGAGGCGCTTTTCCGGTGGCCGCCACTACTACTGCTGCTGCCACTCTTGGTAGCCTCGGCCCGCTCCTCGCCGCTGTGGCTGTGGTGGCTGCGGGACTTAGAGGCCTCGCTGCTGCCGCGCTGCCCGTCCCGCCGCCGGTGCTCGCGGTGGCGCTCCTTGCTGCGGCCGCTACTGCGGCGGCGGTCCCGGCGGGGCCTGCGCCCCGACCCCTCCCCGCGCCGCTGGGTGCCGGAGGAGGAGGCCGGACTCCCGCCGCTGCCCCCCGTTCCCCCGGCAGCCGTCGCCGCCGTTGCCGCGCAGCCCCCCACCAGCAGCAGCCCCTGCTCGGACTGGGAGCTCACATCCTCGTATTCCACCAGCGGGGTCACACCCCCGCCGCTACTAGCACCGCCACCGCCGTCCTGCTGCGGCTGGGGCAGCGAGAAGACCCGACGCTTCTCCGCCTCCTGCCCGGCGCGGGGCCCGCGGCGCCGCTTCTGCCGCCCTCCTGGGCGCCTCTTGCCTCTCGCCAGCCGCTTGACCTCCAGAGGGGGGCCTGGGCTGAAGCAAGAGGAGGAGGCCGCAGCGGCGGCGGCGGCTGCGGCGGCGGCGGCCGTGCCGGGAGCAGCCAGGAAGAGCAGAGGCGGCGGGGGCGGCGGCGGTTGCAGGAGCTGCGGCTGCAGGAGCGGCAACAGCAGCGGCGGCTGCTGAGGGGACAGGAATCGCCTCCGCTTGCGGCGTTCCTCCAACTTCTTCTCCGCCCAGCTCAGGCCCCCGCCTCCCCCCAGTGCCGTGTCCGAGCTGCTCGGCATCGCCTAGAGTTCGCCGCAGAGCGCGGCGCGGGTGCGGCCTCGTCCCGGGTCAGATCTTGGCCATCTCTCCCGCCGGAAACGGGAACAGCGGCGACGGCGGAGGGACACAGTACCAGGGCGAACCGGGAAAAAACACGCCACGATAATACGGGTCAGGACTTGGGTCCCTGGGTTCCAGGTCACAGTGGGGTACGCAGCGGCCTCCAGGCCTGGGGGAAGCAGGAATCCAGGCGGCTGGTCGTGCTGGTCGTCCTGTCCTTAGCAGCAAAAACACCAGATGCACCGCGCGCTGACCTGCGAGGGAGTCCGGAGTCCTCCAAGTGCCCCCGGGGATTGGGGAGCGGCCTTGGCCGCGTTCAGCTCGAGCAGCGCAACGCGGAAGTACCACCTTCGTCGTCGCTTCACTCCATCGCGCCCTGACGTTGGGTGCGAGTTCTGGGTAGGGGAGTGGGCGAGACAACTGCACGCCTCCGCCGCCTCCTCCTACGCGTCGACGTCGTCTTCCAGGGGTGGTGGCGACACACGGTGGGCGCCTCGGAAGTGGCTTGGTCTTGACAACTCTCGGCCTAGGGCCTCGCGCACTTTGCGGCCCGCAGGGACGGGCGGCGGGGCGAGGCGGAGGCGACCGGGCTGCGGTTCTGTTGGGGCTGCGAATATGCGAAGCTGGGTGGAAGGGGGGGGCTGTTTCCGGGGAGATGGGGGCGGGGTAGCGTTTCTGAGTCTGTGGCGGTGGATATGAGCCCTGACTTTCTTCTTCCTTCGCCGGCGCGAGCAGAGGTGGTAGAGCTGCCCCAGTCCTCCGCTCCCCCTCCCACGAGGAGGCTTGTGGTGTGCGCGGCCAGCCCCGGCTCGCTCCTCCCCTTCCCTCTCCGCTCCTCGTCAGGAGGAGGGAGGGCGACGAGAGTTGCTGGTTGGGCCCTAACCTTCACAACCCCTCCTTTTCGCCTCGCTCTTACGGCCTTTACCCTCTAGTCCTGACGCACGGCCGGGAGCGCGCACGCAAGCCACGCTCTGAGAAAGCCGAAGGTGAGTGGTGTCGGGGCAAAGGAGGCGGGAACAAAGTTGCCTCGCACCGGCGTGCTCGCTCCCGCCAGCGACGGGCGTCGGGACCAGAAGTGGCGTAACGCACAAACCTCGCCACTTCCGGTGAGGGTGGGGCTACGCTTGAAGAAGGGTTAAAGAAAGGAGGTTTGGCACGCCGCCCACTGCTGTCGCTTTAGACTCGTAGTGATGGCATGCTGGTTGTGCCTGTTGCTTACGTCCAGCGCGCACTGCCGGCTCCGAATCTCTGCAGGCGCCGCACCGCCTGCTTGTTGAAAGGTCACGGCGAGAAACAAGAATGTGGAGACTGACAGGAATTAATGCCGTTAGTGGTCCTTTGGGATCAGTAGTTACCCATCACCTACCTTCTTCAGCCAACCGCAGGATTGGAACAGCTGAGAGCAGAAGAGGAGCACAGTACCAAAGACAGCGAATGTGGCGTTAGCTGAAATTGCCTCTCTTACAAGTTCGAGACCCGATCTTAACCTAAAAATACATGGGAAATCACTGTGTCGAGCTTTGATAACACTGAAAATTACCTTTTAAAAAAGCCTTAAGCTAATCGGGAATAAATGCAATGTCAAAAGGGACTACTGAAAAATATCAGAATTATTACCAGCAACTTTGAAGTCAAAACATCTTGCTCAAATGAGGGTTGCGCTCTTAGTACTTTACCCACTTTCTCCTTAATATATAAATCTGTGAGACTGTGAAAGGTAACCATTCAGGGACCTCACAGCTCATTACCAGGCTTGCCTTTTATTTATAGATTGGACACTTAGGATAATTAGGTTAAACTCTACATGGCTTACTGGCTTTTAATATAGTTCTTTGAAAAGAAAAGCTAAGCAGTCTATTCAAATGGCTACATGTAGTCACCCCTTTGCAAATTTATTTGTTCAGACCATCATTTGATCCTTAGTTCTTAAACATCTGGTATCTATCCATCATTCATACCTTAGTGTAAATAATTTTAATTGGCTTCACATCCACTAGCACTGTATCTCAAACTAAGATCAAATTTAATGAAAGAATGAATACAAAGGGTGTTTGTTGCTGAAGGGTAAAGAAGACGGCAAAGGAAAAGGTAATCTAGAAATGAGAGCATTTCTCAAGAGGATAAGCCTGGGCGGGCTACATAGTGGCACCTACTGTGTAGCCAGAAGGAAGTAGTGTAAGGACATTGGGAAACAATAGAAAAGCTAGGGCAGGATGCCTAAAACAAATTTCACCTTGAATGAGAATTGCTGAGTGGAGATCCTATAGCTAGCCTCCTGCTAAAGACTAGTTAGCAATGATTTGTTGTTCTTTCTCAAAAAAGATCAGCTTGCCCCATTTGAAAAGCCTGGTGTAACAGAACAAGGAGAGCAAAATACAAGATTTAGCAGTGATTCACATCTATAACCAATTCCATTTGAGAATGTCATCTATTTTATTCTTGCAAAGAAAACATAATCCATACTAAATGGATAGAAATTTGCAAATGGATAATTGCAAACAGGTTACAAACAGAAAACGTGTACTAAAATATGTTTAATGGGGGTTTTGCCACCTACATGTTTCCACAAAAATTCTATCTTGGGGGAGATGTGGAGAAGAGGAAGAAATGAAGCATTTTGAGTTCCCCAAAGATACCTGCCCACATGCACTGAAATGCTAATAATAAAATTCAAACTCCAAAAAATGAGAAAGACCTTTAAATTAGAATTATCTTTTTTATAATAACCTTGTCTACTTGCCTTCATATAAAGAGGTTTGAAATTGCCACTTGAGACTATATTTTAGAATTTTGCTGGTTGTGTTATAATTTATTGTCTCCTGGTTTTTAAAAAAGGTTGTTTTTTGCTTTAGCTAACAGGTCATATCAGCTATTTTAAAGTGTGCTCTAAAACTAAAACCTTTTCAATGGATTGCATAGTCAAGACTATTTTCATAATAATAAGTATATGAATTGTCTTCTTACCTCTCATTCTTTCACAAATGTATAGTTTTCCAGAGGCAATGTGACATATTATGATATTAATATTCTAATGGCAAATGGAATATGTGCTTGTGTGTTCACATGTTTTCTAGAATGTTCTGTGTATTGGGTTTCTAAAATGTGTAAATATTTGGAATATCTATATAATTTAGTGAACCAATATTTTCCAAATAACTGATGGATATTACAAAAGCATGAGTAAGTGATTCATTCAAAGTACAAGACAGACTGATGGGTTCTAATGCAATAGCACAAAAAGTTCATTGATATAATTTCAGATTCCACCTTACAACGAACCTTTAAGAAACTACTGTGGAGTTTGGGTGTAGTGTCAAAGAGTAAACATAATTGAAAGGTTAGTAATATCCCTTCCCCCTTTTTCCAGAAACATATTGTGTTCATGTATTTCCAGCAAAACAACATATTACAACATTGCATAAAAAGGCAGATATGATAATTAATTTAATTTCTATTAAACCAAGCAATAAAATGATTTGCAGAAAGGTAAAGCAATAATCCTCTTTTTTTTGCTTTGTAAAGACAATTACTTTCATTTAAATTTGTTATCTGTGTTTATGTATGGTGGGATTATTATTGTTTTAAATAAATATTTTTAAATTTCTCAATTTTTATTTCTATATCAGTAGATAAAATTCATATGAAGAAAAGCTTCTTTGTGGTCCTCAAAATTTTTAAAAGGGTAAAGGGGTTCCCAGAACAAAACCTTTTGAGAAATGCAAAATACAAAAATCATTAAAATTCTGATTCTCCCCTTCATGCTTCTAAATGCTATAGAGAGTTCACAGGTAGGTCATGCACTGTCATTCCAGAACCTTTCTTATAACTAGGAATTTCTGCAACGTCTTTCAAAATTGTTCTTCCTTTAGAGAGGTTGGTTGGTTGACTTTAAATTGGGTTTTTCTTAGTCTTGCAGAAATTAAAGTTCTCTTTTTTTCAACCCACTATTCTCCATCATAAGGAAGAATACCAAACATGTTATATTGTTAGAAGAGAGAAAAACAAAGCTGAAGTTATGAAACTTTTCAGTTTCATGATTAAAAACAAGTTGTGGCTAGTATTTACTGAACACTTATTGTGTGTCAGGCTCTGTGCTGGGTGCTTTATATCTATTTTCTCATTTAATCCTTTCAACAGTTCCTGCCAGTAGGGGGTGACCATAGTCCTGGATTTGCTTAGGGTGATCCTGGTTCCTGCCTCTTGTTCATACATAATTATTAATAGTATACCCTTTCCAGTACATAAGTTTCAAAGTGTGAATGTAAATTCTCTGATCATCCTACCTGTAAAACTTATCCCCGTTTACAAATGAGAAAACTGAGGCATAGACTGAGATCTTGCCTAAAGTACACTGCTAGTAAACATGGTTCTGGGTAAACAAGTCTATCTGTACAGTTTAGTAGTCCAGTCTTATAAGAATTACAAGATGTATAACAATGATAACAGTGCTCCTGAAATTATGTTAAACCCAACTATAGTAAATATTCCACCATAAAAGAAACGCAAAATTTTAAGGTCAATTTTGCTAGTAAAACCGAAGTGGTAGATGTGTCTCTCCCATGAGTACCTTTGACATAGCTCAGAGGCCCACACTTGCTATCAACCCTTTGCAAAAGAGCAATGTGAGATAATTTGGGGGCTTTTTATTGGCTCAATAAAGGTGACGGATGCCCAGTTTTTGTTTTATTATTTTAATTACAATTGACATTCAATATAATTTTATATTAGTTTCAGGTATACAGCATAGTGGTCAGACAATATAATTTACAAAGTGATTCTCCCAATAATTCTAGTACCCACCTGACATCATACATGATTATTACAATATTATTAACTATATATATTCCTTATGCTGTACTTTAGATTCCCGTGACTACTAATTTGTACTGCCAATTTTGTAACTACTAATTTGTACTTCTTAATCCCTTCACCTTTTTCACTCAGTTCTGCCAGCCCCCATCCCATCTAGCAACCCTCAGTTTGCTCTCTGTATCTGAGTCTTTCTGGGGTTTTGTTCATCTATTTTGTTATGTAGATTTTACTTTTTAGATTCTGTTTTGTTTGCTTGTTTATCTTATTCTTAAAATTGTATTCTTTGGATTTATATGGTTTGTCTCTCCGTCTGATTTATTTTACTTAGCATAGTACCCTCCAGGTCCATCCATGTCACAAATGGAAAAGTTTCACTCTTTTTCATGGCTGAGTAATATTCCATTGTATTTATGTACTACATCTTCTTTATCCAGTCGTCTGTTGATGGGCATTTGGGTTGCCTCCATATCTTGGCTATTGTAAATGATGCTGCAATGAACATAGAGTAAGGATACCTATCTATCGAACAGGAATGGTGGACAAAACTGCTAAAGGCCTTGCTAATACAGCTTCTCCCTGATCATAAGTAACAGAAAACTGGCTTTGCTGGGGTTATAAATGTGCTTAGCTAAAAACTACATCTCCCAGCACTCCTTGCAGATGAAGGAAATTACCATTTTATGCAGTTCCGGCCAATGAAAAGTAAGTGGAAGTTGTTGGATGAGACTTCTGGATATGTTT